TTCCTTATAATTCTCATATTTTAAAATTTTAGTTCAAACTAATATTTTTTTTACTTTCTCAAAAGTTTAAAATTTTTTTGAAGCCCTCCTAGGTCATCATAACACAAAATTCTGTTGTTATTATCATAACACAAAAAGTCCTGCAATGGCAGATTTTCCCCAGTTATTTAGAACTTTCATATAAATAAATAATGGTGCTTTCTAGGAGAATGACTGTGCTAAGCTTTGTTTCAGATCTGCAGGATCCAAAGCCTCCATAAGCAGCAGGCTCTGAAGAGACCGAACATTAGGGACCAAAACTGAAACTAAGTGGCAATTTATAATAATATTTTCAATGACATGCAGTGAACATTTTTCTGTACTCACACTGTTTGAAGGAGGCAGTGCAGCAGAGAGCTTAAGGGTGCTCGCAGGTGTAAAGTTTTACAAGATGAATATGTTCTAGAGGTTGTACAACACTGTGCCTGTAATTAACAATACTGTAGTGTACACTCAAAAATTTGTTAGGAGGCTAGATCTTGTGTTGCATGTTCTTACCATCACACACACAAAAAACATTACTGTACAAAACGATAAAATACAATACAGTATAGTACACAATAGTGTGAACCCTGAAGCCAGGCTGTTCACCTTTACATCTGGCTCCACCCGCTTTGTGCTTTGACTCTGGACAAGGTGCTGTGCCTTTGTAAAGCTCACTTTCCTCCTGTATAAAATGGGCTGATTGTAACACTTTGTAGGGCTGTGATCACTGAGGGAGTCAGAGGCAGGAAAATATGGTTATCAAGGGGATGGGTCTGGTGCCCGATTTCAGTGGCTTGAATGCTACCTGACCACTCATTAATTTAATCTAACCTCTCTGCCTGTGTCCTTATTTACAAAAGAGAGGTTGTGATAATAACAAATTCCTGTGGTATTTAAAAGGATGAAGGGAGTTAACACAGAAAAAGAGCTTAGTAGCGTGCCAAGCATACAGCAAATGCTCAATGAATGGGAGCTCTGATCATTAGACATGGAAAGGGCTTGCCAAGTTGGAACCGCATTTGGTGCAGAGCAGAACCATGTCCTGCTCTAAGGCCCTTACAGTCTAGTAAATGAGAAAGCCAGGGGAAAGTAATGATAAAAATAAGGCAAAACAGTATATGAATTTTAAAAGACAAAGAAAGCTCTGTGGAAAGTAAAGGAGACTGATGTCTAAAGAAAAGCGACAAGTAAAGGACAGAAATTGAAAGGACAGTTAACCTGAGCTGGAAGCAGAACATATTGAATTTATGCTTTCTCATTTGGTTGGTTAAATTCAGGCAATTTTATAACTGACCTAATTGCACAGAGGTGGCTGTGGGTCCGAGTGTCTGAAGTGTTCCTCAGAGCTATGGCTTTAAGAAGCAGAAATACTGGCCCTCTCCCTGCCTCACCCACCCTTCCCCTGCCCAGTTCCATTATCTGGGACTCCCAACCATGGGTGGAGAAGTGGTTACCAAAGCTCACTTCCCCATTTCAGCAGACCCCTAGGTAGTCCAGAGAGAGAGCCCAGGCCTGTTGTTTCTGCTGGCATGGGGAAGTGAGCGTTTCTCACCACTTCCCTATGTAAAGGGGATTACTGCTCCTGAAAGCAAAGAATTCTTCCTCAAAAAATTAAGTACAGATTGGAGAGCGTCTCCATGCTGGGGAGCTCTACCAAAGCATACGCCCTGTTTCTCAGCCTTTGAAAGTGATTAAACAGCCAGAGAACTTGGAAAGCCCTCAGCTGAGCCGCACGGCAATCATGTGGACTTGCCGGGCGTGCCAGCAACTGTGACACTCACAACAAGGAAGTTCCCTGGAGAACTGCAGGAGGCAAGGGCTGCGGGGTCAGGCTACTCTTGCTCTGCCACCTGCCCTGTGTTACGCAAGTCCCTTTACCTGTCTGCATTTCAGGTTTTTTTTGCTCTTTACCTGTGAAATAATGATAATATGAACTATCATTATTTGAGTGCTGATGATGTTCTAAGTACACTTGAGGTAAATATTATTTTTCCCTTTACACAAATGAAGAAAGTGGAATTCAGAGAGTTAAAAAAATTAGGGTAACTGAACTAGTAAGAGTCAGTATGTAAACTCAGGTGTCTCTAAAACCTATGCTGTAAGGAGTTAGCACCCCTACCTAAGCCTAGCATGTAGCAGAAACGCAGTAAATCATAGCTATTATTAATTTAATAAAATAAAATAAATTATTAAATTAAGTGAAAAGGGAGTCCGCATACACTATTAGTGGGATTGTAAATTGGTGCAGACACTATGGAAAACAGTATCAAGATTCCTCAAAAAATTAAAAATAACACTGCCGTATGACCCAGCAATTCTACTTCTGGGTATTTATTTGAAGAAAACAAAAATACTAATTCGAAAAGATCTACGCACCCCTATGTTCATTGCAGCATTATTTATAATAGCCAAGATATGGAAGCAACCTAGGGGTCCATTGATAGATGAATGGATAAAGAAGGTTATATATATATACATATATATATATATATATATATATGTATATATATATGGAATGAAATCTTGCCATTTGTGACCACATGGATGGACCTAAAGGGTATTATGCTAAATGAAATAAGACAAAGACAGATTCATCCCCACTGATGAGCTCTAGGTGGAGTCGTGGGAGCTGAGGGGTACCAGTGGCTGCCACTGAAGCATGAAAAAGGGATAAGGCAAGAGCCCCCCCAAGGTTTCACGCATGCCCCCTAGCTTTGGTACTCTGACGCCTTCTCTTGCACTTGCGGATGAGGAACTGGAATAGTGATGAACAGAAAGCACATCTGACCTGAACATTTACAACCTGTCCTACAGCCGATTAATTAACTAATCCTCAGCTAGACTAGGATGGGTAGGTTCCAATTTTGCATGATCCACCTGAAAGATGAAATATTTTTTGAAAATGGAACAAACAACTGTTGGTTACTTGATATTATGTTAAAAACTTTACATCTCATTATTTTAGAATAAATGATTCACGGCCAAAAAAAAAAAAAAAGACAAAGACAAATACTGTATGATTTACCTTACATGTAGAATCTAAAACAAACAAAACAAATGAATAAACAAAAAAGAAAAGAAGACTAGAAAACATTAATAAGCATTTTATACTTTTCAAAATTTTTTTTCATTCTCATTCTCATTCCAACAACTTATATCAACTCCCTTATTTGTATCCTAATTTAATGAATGAGAAAGAAGTCTTTGAGTGTAGTAATGCTATGTTTGGCTTAAACTGGTATTCCTCCCTTTAATGCCTCTAGTTCAAACTCCACTAAGTGGCCATGCAACTTTGGCAAGACACTTCTCTTCTTTTGGTCTGGGGTTCCCTACCTATAAAATATCAGTGGGCTTTTAATATCATTTGACTTTTAAGACTTTTCTCCTCTAATGGTCTTGGCATCTTGCAACCATTCCCATGGCTTCAGGGATGGCTTGGCTCAAAATGAAACACCTGTCCATGGGTTGGATGCTTAAAATTGTGCTATTTTTACCCAATAGTCTTTATATATGCTTATGGCTATGCATTTGTTAACTCCAATTAGATTTTATATTAAATAAGATTTTCTCAAACTTTGGTCCTCTACTTTCATTCAGGAGAGTTCTTGGGAAATTCCAATCATGGGATACACGAGGCAGAGCCCTCAAGATATCTTCCTTGTCTTCACATGTTTAGGGGATGTGTGTAGGGCACTTCTTCCGTCATAACATTAACGCTATTGACTTTGAAGTTATTTATTTTCCATATAGAAATGCAATGAAGTTGCTGTCTAATCGTCCTCTGTAGAAACCCCAATAACGATGAGATTGGGATAGTCTGCCCAAGCACAGGCTATGCTGAGTGGAGAGGGCTGGGCATTCATTTGTTAGAGTAGCTGCAAAGTTTGCTTTGCAGGAGGAGGCTGCTTCTTCCCTGTAGAGTGGGGCCACTGAGCAGTGCCCAGTCCTAAGAGCAAGGGATGTCTTTATTTAAAGATGGTTAATTATGTCTAGGCTCATAGGAAAGGCCAGCTAGTGAGAAGGGTTCTAAACCTCAGGCCTATGTATGGTCAGACACCTCTGAAGTGAAATTGTATTGGACCAGCACAATATTTTGTTTTGTTTTAATGAATTTTAAAGGTTTTCCAGTCTAAGCATTTCTCAGCTTCATTCATTCATGTTATCTGCCTGCTGCTTGAAGACATTGGAGCTGACATTTCTGATACAGGGGCCCCCATTTGCTGGGCTTTCATAATGTGCTAAACATTTTACATACATCTTATTTATCTTCAAAACAGAATGACAAGTTAGGTATTAGCATCTCCTGTTTACAAGTAAGCAAACTGAGGCTCAAAAAGAACTTGTTCAAGGAAAGATAGCTAATGAACACACTACAGGTTGGCTGAGCATCAAGCTGGGATCTAATAGATCTTGGTTTGCATGGATAGTGTTATCTGGCTCCAGTGCCTCTTCAGGTGAGAGTATCAAGGGCCACTTGATTCCATGACTTTGACTTATTCTTTCATATAAAAAATCAAAGCACGGGACTTGTTTAATCACAGACATCATCATCAATCCGTAAGCAATCCTTGCGCTCCCTGCATTCAAGCCATTGGCAAATTTTGTGTGGGCATAATGTCACTTTGGTCATTATTGGAGGACAGCGGAGAGAAGACCTGGGGAGAGGGAACCTCGCATAACATACGTCTCCAAATAGCTAAAAATTCAAGAGTTCATATATGTCTATGGTTCCTACGGGCACAGCCAGACAGAGTTGGTCTGATAGAAGAACTCCAACTTATCAGAGCTGCCCATCAATCCTACGGTCAAGTCCGTGACCAGAATTTCTCCGCAAAACCCCCAATCCCTAGGATTCATGGAGACTTGGGCTCTCCGCGCTCGCGCGCCCACTCGCGGCCTCAGAGCTGAGCCGCGCGGCGCCGGCACAGCGTCCGCAGGACGCGCGCACGCCGTCTCCCGGCAACGGTAGACGCGGAGCGGGGGGCGCGGAGACCGCTCGCAGTCCCAGCTGAGCGCAGCCTGCCTGGGTCGGCCTTTGCTATGACCTCCAAACAAGCCAAGAGGAAAGATGTGCATCGTATCTACTCTGCTCAAAGCTGGGACAAATCTAAAGAGTAAGGGGCCTCTCCGCCTCCCCATTCCGCCCCCGACCTTACCCCTTGGCCTTTCCACTAGTCCCAGGGCTGCTTTCCTGTAGCAAGCTCTGCCAGGGCAGGAGTTCAGCTGGCTAGCCTTCTGGATAATTCGCTATCTTCTATGGGATCCAGGAGAGTCTTACTCCTGTTCCTCCCCCAGGCCCGACCCACCGCTGCTGGGCTGCACTTCTCCTGGCTCCCATCTGTGAACCTTTCACCCCTTCCTGCCCCTCCTCCCCCTTCAAGCCTCTCCCATGCCACTCCGAAAGGTTGCAACTTCCTTACAAAAGAGGCAGAGCTCAAATGACATCCAGTTAGGGCCACAACTGGCTGGTCCCAATAATGATAGAGGTAGAGATAGAGATAGAGATAGAGATAGAGAGGTGTGTAAGAGAGAGAGAGAGAGAGATTTAGGAAGGGAGAAAGAGAGTTTAACCTTAATGGTGATTGCCTAGTTTGTATCTGCCCCATTCCAACAACTAAAGGCCTTTAAACAGATGATATCAGACATCAAATGGTTTAAAAAAGTTAAACCTATATAAATATGTAGTTCATGTTATTAATGTTTACTCCAAGGAATTATACAGAGCCTAGCTCATGGAATTGATATGATGCCTCTTGGTCCTGCGGTAGTGTTTGTTGTGTCTGTGTATGTACCTCATTATTATTTTTTTTTCCATTGGTCTTTTTTTTTTTTTAATTGGGGAATTGGGAGGATGGGAACAGCGCTGGGGAATTGGGGGAAGAGGAACAGACAAGTTGCTGTCATTTTGTTCTTCAGTCTAGTTGTGGAGGACGTCGCTTCACTGGCCCACGTTGGCACCATCATTGCACTCTTCCCAGGCGAGGCAGATCAGTCACCGGCTTCTGGACAGCTGCTCACTGCGGCTGCTGGCCGCTCACGCTGGCTGCTGGCTACACATGGTAGTCCATGGCAACCTACTGCAGCAGGGGCTGCAGCCTGTGCCGTTGCCGGCGACCCACGGCAGCCCAGCTCCAGGTTGAGCTGTTGTACAGCATCTTAGCTGTAGAGGACAGTGTCACTGGCCCTCATATGTGGGATCCAAACCGGGGCCCTCTGGCGTCCCAAGCCAGTTCTTAACCATCGCGCCACTCGACCGGCCCCAATTGGTCTTTTTTATTTCTCTAGAAATACCCCGTTATTAATAGCACAGACTATGGGACATTATTTGAACTTAAACAATTTATAAAATTTATTCCAGCTACTGTTGTTGGAAAGTGGCCCCTTTTCGGCGCGAAATCCAGGTCCTTGGCAACTCGAGCAAGGAATTGAACGAGATGCCAGAGTAAAGCGCTGAAAAAGTAGTTTATTCGAAAAGATAATACATTTCAAAGAGGAGAAGTAGGCCTGAGCAGTAGAAAATAGCTCAAGAGCCCATTATTAGAAAAGAAATTACATTAAAAGAGTTTGGAATAGGCCACGCACAAGGGTGAGGCTCAAAGGGCTTGAAAAGGAATAAGCGGTCAAGAGAGCAGGGCGTCCAAAAGGGGAAAAAAGAGAAAAAAGCGCAGATTTCCCAGGACTTGGGGTTTTTATCCCTTCTCTAGAATGGGCTGTTCCCCTAAGGGCGTGGGACCACTTGATTGGCACCTGTGATTGACAAGATGTACTGCGCAGGTGCGAGTGACTGGTCTGATCTAGTTGTACCCATTTGTTTTAGGGGTAGATAGTTACAATGAAAAGAAGTTTTGGGTGGAGAGGGGAGGTCACCGGGCAGTCACATTCTGTGGGACGTGGTACAGGAATGCAGAGACCCAATGCCTGCCTCTAACTGCCTGCCTTGTTTTCCCCTTGAGAGACGTGATCCCCATGAACTCTCTATGGGAAGCTGAGGACAGGAGGTCTTTTCTGTATCTGCTTCCTGCTGGGCAGGGGCTTAGAGTTGTCCCTGCCTATTGGGGGATTCATGGAACTCTCACCCTAGCTGATCTCAGATGAGAGGAAGGGGTCTCGAGCTCCGCCTGGAAGACCGTATTGGCTTCTTTGGTTGTGACCAGCAATTTGTTGGGGTATCCTCTGTATCCCCAAAGTCCCTGAATGAGGAAAAATAGATTTTAATTAATAAATCTGTTAGCTCTCATGAAGCCTGTTGCCATTCAGCCTGTTACTCAGGTGGTGTCAGTTGTCTGGGCCCAGAATGAGTTTGGCATTTAGCTTACTGGCCCGGGGGACATTAGGAAGTCACAGGCTTTCAAAAAGTTATCTGAAGTAGGAGACGTCTATTGTTTAGGATTCAGAAACTGATTTACAAAGCAATCAAGAAGCAGGGGGATAGAATTTTAGGATTCAGGCTAGGAGCATTCTTTAGTCTAGGATTTACAAACTGGTTAGAAAAGTAATCAAACCAAGAGCTAAGGAACTAAGAAACTAGGGAGAAGACTTAACATTTCTATACTTAATATTTCTATAGGAAAGAAAACTTAAAATTCTTTGCAGGGAAGGGGTCGGGGGGCCTCTCTTGGCCGGTCACACTACGAGAGCATGTCAGCTGCCAAAACCACCTCAGAGGGATCATTTCTGTTTCAGCTATGCCTATGAGCGGTGGGCAGTAAATTCTTTTAAAGTGGATTTTTACATTTTGGATGCCTGCTTCTCCACCTTCTTCCTTGCCTGAAAAATCCCACACTGGACTTTTGTTCACTGATTCCTAGTATTTAAACTCTCCCTCCATGGACTCCTCTTCCACATTTATTTCCATGTCTGTAATTCCTGATTCTCTAGTTCCTAGTTTTCTGTCCTCTCTCATAAGCAGGCTTCCAGCTACCTGGCAGATAATCCATTCATTTTATTAACTTAAATTTCAGCTAATGATGCTATATACATAAATGATTTGAACAGAATTGCTCTCTTGCTGCATATCAATCAGTGTAAGTCAGGTGATTTCAACGTTTGTTAATGACTTCCATTCTTATAGGTCCAAGTCTTACAAGGCTCTACAGGATTAGGCCTCTGAGTTTTCTGATTCGACCACCCCTTGTTCACATATTAGCTTCCTTTGTACTCCCTAGTATATGCCAGGCTTGTTCTTACCTCAGGGCCTTTGCACTTGCTGTTTCCTCTGCTGGAAAGCACTTCTCCCCAGATTCCCATGTGGTTTTTCTCCACACTTCGTTTAGGTATTTACCTAAGTGCCATTTTCTCATGTCAACTTCTTTGGCCAACTAGTTTAAAATCTCAACCCCCACTTTCTTGCCAAAACAAAAAAAATTATGTTTTCCTTTGCTGCTTTATCTTTCTTCATTTTTTTTTCTCATTTAACAAACTATATATTTTACTTCAAAAAATTATGTGTATTTATATGTCTTCCTAATAGAATGTAAGTTCAACAAAGGCAGGGATTTTTCTATTTTATACACTTTTGAATCCTTAGTACCCTGACTGATTCCTTGGTCATATGTAGTAGACGCTCAAAAATGTTTATGTAATGAAAGAATGACAGTGATTAAATAAGAGATTATAACAGGCTTGCAAAATAATTTTTAATACACATACAAAAAACTCTTAGTCAATGGTGGTTATAATTAATGCACGTTAAAGGTTCACATCTCTTAAGGAGCTTGGGGAAAATCTCTGACTTGAAAAAATTTACATCCTGAAAGAGATGAGATTGTTAATTCCCATGCAGAAACTGTTCAAACTGGATACCACAAAACACGTGGTAGAGATAAGATCCCTGCTGGTAAGATGCTAACGCTTTCCTTGCTGGCACTTCCAATTTCTTTTTGAGATGATAGAGCTATTTCTAACATGTTTATTTTTTTTTCCAGAAAAATATCTAAGTTGAAGTATATCAATAAAAATGTATGTGTATATTTATGAAAATAGAAGAGTAAAGGTAAAATAGTTATACAAAAATCTAGGCTTTGCTAGAAATGACCTGTTGAACATTAAATATCAAATCATTAGGTTTTGCTATAGCATTATATGATAGGATATGAAGTTCATCATCAACCAAGTCTGTCCTCTGAAGGACTAGTCATAGATACCAGGCAAAGTCATGGATAAAAACAATGTGTCATGGGGCCTAGGGATCAAAGTCTAGCAAGGCTCCAGTGTAATTGTCATTTGACATACACTGAGGACATTTAGAGTAAGTTTTTATATGCCATTTTACCATACCTATGATTAAACATCCAACAAATACAACCAACTCTAACATGGTCCTAGATACGGAAATGAAGGACAAAGTCTTCAGAGCCCTTGAAAATGGCCATCCCATAGAATCTTATTCTCCTAGAGCTGCCATCTAGAGCATCTCTCTTTTTTTCCCTAAAATTTTGTGTCCGATTGGAGATAATGTCCATGTCTGGCCTTTGCCTAGCATGATGGCTGGCACATAATAAGAACTCACCATTTGCTTATTAAATTAGTTCATGGCTTCATTACCTAGCTTGGTTTTCATTCATTTTGAATTTGATTGAGGCCCGGGTCTCCCTCCCTTTTTGATATGATCGCTGTTGGCAAAGTTCAAAAACTGAGATGTTGCAACTGAGAACGTGGAATAATCTATGTCCAGTTGTGACCAAATTCATAAGTAAATATGACTGAATCCCCAAGAAAAATTAAGCCAGCTAACTGAGCTGTCAGTTTTTACAGTAGATGATCATATTCCTGTTTTATCTATTCTCTCTTTCTCTGTATCAGGAAGAATGAAATCTCTATGATAGGGTTTGCTCAGGCACCATTTTTTTGTGACATTGGACATGTCATTTTTCTATTCTGACATTTAATTTTCTCTTCTGTAACTGAAAGGCCATCTAATTAAAATTGCTCCCAATCCAACATGCTCTACCATCTCTCTGCTTTATTTTTCCTCCAGCTCCAAACTTCCATGACTTTAGCAGATTGTTTTTTTTGTTTTTTTTTTAAACTCCAGTGAGTCCATTATACGTTAGGGAATTTTTTTATTGTTAAATGTTTAAAACTTTGATTTCATTTATTTTCCTAATTGAAGTTA